CTTAGTGCACTTTTTCGTCTTCCACCGCTTCCAAAAGTAGCATACAGTGGTGTTAAATTAGACTTGAGCGAGCGTTACGTCGAAGGAAAAACAATCGTCTGGTGGGGTTTTTCATCTTGCACAACAGCTGTTGGTGTTCTAAAATCAGAACAATTTTTGGGAACGACAGGTACCAGAACAATGTTTACCTTACAATGTCAATCAGCTAGAGATATTCGCAAGCATTCGTATTATACAGCTGAAGATGAAGTACTTTTAATGGCTGGTACTCAATTCAAAGTAATAGGTTGTCTTGATCAAGGAAATCTTCACATTGTTCAATTGGAAGAAACTCGTCCGCCATTTCCACTATTACAACCAGTACCAATTGTTGTTCCAAAACCGATCAGTTCAACTCCCTCAAGTAAGTGAAAATAAAGAAAAAAGAACATTCCGCTTGATATACGACATCCCCACTTTCGATACTGTGGAGAAAATTAAAAATTATATTCTTCAATCAGCGTACGTATGATAAAATATGAATGTAAAGAGTCAATTTAGATTTACTATCCACCTAAAAACCATTCTCAAATCAAAAATAAAATTGAGTTAGTTTAAAAGATCAGAAAAAAAAGACTCTTCATGATAATCTTCGATTAGATTCAATGGAATTTTCGATTTTGCAAATTTTTTTAAACAAAAACAAAAACAAGCGACTTTGTCTTACATAGTTTAAGTAACCAACTAAGATCCTGATCAGTTTCAATTACTTTCTGCTTCATCTATTAATATCTAATTTCTTTCGTGAAATCTAAAGACGTGATTCAAGTTGATTAGTTTTCTAAATCCACAAGTATCATTGGAAATATTTTCTTCAGGAGATGCTTTCTTCTCCTATACTACCGGCCCAAAGAATCGTAGATATTGGGTAGATGTAATGATAATTTTTCCTACAGTTAGAAATCCACAAAAATACTCTTGTTTTTGAACAACTTCTAAAGGATTCGGATGAAGTTAGAGTAAGAGTGAAAAGAAGATTTGACACCTTCATCTCAAACACTCATATTCGCACCAATCTCTACTTTGATTAAGCTACTAAATAAAAAAAAAAGATGTATTGAACTTTATCCATAATGTCACCAAAAATCTCTCAAGAAATGAATAATTGCTTTGAATTGTAGAAGCCTCGACAACGGCTGCTGTTGTAACAATCGTAGCAAAAAAACAGACACAGTCCAGCAAATCTCAAGTAATTCAAACAATTTCTGAGTGACTTTTCTTTGTTCATATCTATCTTTGTTTTTTTCGTAGAAGAATACAACTGCAGTAGCCGCCACTGCCAGTACCATTAACGTTGGTACCGGCTCCATCATGAAACAAGTCAGAAAAAATCATTCTAGAAATTGGATATTCATCAAATATCTTGTATCTTTAGATATCTACCATGGAAATCAAAGCGTCGCCAAATAAAGGTAGGATTTTGTTGATTATCGCCTTGATTATGAGATTCACAAGTAGTGGTGAAAGTTATGTGATTCTAATAGCTCTTATTCCTCAGACACATAGAGCACACAGAAAACCTTAGATCATGTGCCTTCTTGAAATTTAGTGTGTATGAAGTTACTTCATTTTTGAAAAAAATTTCAATTTTTAATCATGGACAGGAAGTATATATCCTTTAGGATGGATGTTAATGTAAATATGCAGCTATCTAACACTTCCACACTCAAACCCGATTATCATAAGATCATACAGGTGTTCTTTGACAATTATAAATTCATATTTTTTCCATGTGTTATATTTTACATTTATAATATCTATTATAATATGTACAATAGTACAGCAAACTGTTCTTAAAAGTAATCCATTTTTTATAAACAGTCTTACAGGTATGAAGTTTTAAATTAAGGAATGTAAAATGTAATTAACAGTATTATTCTTTTTTCACATAAATTGCGATATATTACTCTCACTAAAAACTAACAGTCAAATTTCCTACTCATAGAAAAGCTGATTCAAGATCTATTTGAGTTTTATACTTCCTAACATTTTATGTCCCACAGTCTCTCCAATTCAAAAACGAGAAACTGTTGTTTTAATTCCAACTCTTATCTCAGAATTGTTTGACACATGTTGCTTTTAAACTCATAGTCTTCATCTACTTTTATAATTTTCAATAAATTTTGATTGAATAACACTCCTATTGATATAATTATAGTTCCCATACTGTTTTACATGTATCTTTTTTTGTCGATCAAAGAAAAGAAATAATACTAAAATGTTCTTTTCCCAGTTATAAATTTTGTGATTTCTTCCAATTGTAATTAGATATCAACATATTCGAAGTATATGACATTACATAATAGAAATGAAAATTTATTCAAGATCTCAATTATAGCTAGATTCTTCATGTGCAAATTAAAAAGGATTAAATCATTTCAATTGATTGAAAAGAAAATCTCAAATCAGTTCATTCATTCCGAAATATTATCTCCGACCCACTTCACTTGAAATTCTGAGAGGAGACTTGTTAAAAAAAGATTTTGTCCAAAATAATCCCAAGATATACAATGGAAAAAATGAATGAGCAAAAGAGGCATACACAGAAAAGCTTTGAGCTGATCAAGATTAGAAGGCACATTCGCATTTTTTCTCAACTAGATTACTGGTTTTTTTTTCGCTATTTCTGATGCAAGAAATATTTTCCATTCGGAAGCATCTTACATAATTAACAGGAAACTGCGCTTCATTTTATCTTTCTTTTTTCGGAATTACAAAAAAAAAAGATTTTTTAATTCTTTTAACGCCGGAAGTGTTTAGACTAGTGACTGTGGATTCAAATAATTTTTTTTCAAAGACCAAAATGAATCAAAATTTCCCTGAATTAAGGTTCAAGCCTTCGAAAACTACTTGCGTGCATGCAACTG